CTCCCCTCTTTCTTTTTGGAAGGGGGATGGAAATTCCCTATTCTGTTGTTACCCTCTAAGAATTCTGTTTTAATTCTGACTGCAAAGGGTATGCATTAATTGATAATATTCTACTCAATTATTCTCTTCAAATCTCTAATGTTCTACTCAAACTTGAGCTTCTTCATTAAAAAGAAAAACAACTTTTTTCCTGTTGAGATAGTTTGAAGTGTAAGAGTATTGGTGACGCATGTTTGCCAGCACTTTAAGATGTCTGTCCCGTTTGGTTTTATCGTTTGTAGTGAGCTGTTTGCCATCCAGCATTCCCACTGTTTGGGTGCTTCAAAATCTGCGGCACGAGAGGATGAGAGATTGATAGAGACAGGGCCCTCTCCTGATACAAAGAACTCACCTAAGATTTTGTTATTCAACAAAGAGGCACCATTGTCCAATGAGAAGGTTTGTATTTTGCTTAGAGACACCCAGCTCATTCAAGCGAGACTCCTCCCCAGCATGCTTTTAATTCTCCTGTAGTACTGTGGTTCGTGTGCTTAATTTTGGTCATTCTTCAGGGTTTTTTTTTTTTTCCTAAACTATGGGACTTTAATTATATCATTTAACTGAAGTCACAGTTACTCACCTTCTATTTCCTTTAAATATTATTCTATAGGGGTGCCTCAGTGGCTCAGTTGGTTAAGTGTATGACTCTTGGTTTTGGCTCAGGTCATGATCTCACCGTTCATGAGTTCAAGCCCCACAACAGACTCATGCTGACAGTGTGGAGCCTGCTTGGGATTTTCTCTGTCTCTCTGTCTCGTCTCTCTCTGCTCCTCCCACGTTCACACATGTGCTCTCTCTCTCTCTCTCTCAAAATAAATTTTAAAAAACATAAAAAATAAATGTTATTTTATAGAGTTAACTCCAGGCCAGATGTCCCTCAGGCCCTCCTGGTGACTGATAGATACATACATATTACATATATATGTGCATACACATATTTTAAATATAACAAAAAAAGACTGTAACAAGCAATTGTGCACCTACATTCAGATTTAACATGTTTACCTTTGTCACATTTGTTTTATTTTTCTTGTTCAAGAAATGAAATACTACAGATAAAGTGTGGGTCCCACGTGCCTTCTCCCCTCGCCCACTCCCCCCACCAGTTATCACTATCCTGAAGTTGCAGTCATGCTTTTTCTTATGCTTTTACTACTTAAAAACATATATTTAAACATTACATAATGTTTTGTGTGTATTTAAAATGTGCGTAAGTGGTAAAAGACTGTCTCTATCCTTTTGCGATGATTTTTCCAACTGTGTGAATATTTTGTGACATTTATCCATGCTGATACTTGAAGACTTAGTCCCTTCATTTTGACTGCTGATCAATATGTAGTCTATTGATTGAATAAATCAGTTTGTTCATGCCCCTCCTGATGGTCAGTGAGGTTGTTACTGCACTGTCACTGTCACACATGAGCCGGTGCCTTCACCATAAATGGGATCCACATTACAGCTCTGTCAGAGTGAAAATAAAGTTGAAGTGAACTTAATTTTTTTTTTCAACGTTTTTTTTTTTTTTTTAATTTTTTTATTTTTGGGACAGAGAGAGACAGAGCATGAACGGGGAAGGGGCAGAGAGAGAGGGAGACACAGAATCGGAAACAGGCTCCAGGCTCTGAGCCATCAGCCCAGAGCCCGACGCGGGGCTCGAACTCACGGACCGCGAGATCGTGACCTGGCTGAAGTCGGACGCTTAACCGACTGCGCCACCCAGGTGCCCCAGCAAAGTAGGTTCTAAGAAATAAATGGAATTTGGTTCTTCTAGTATTTCATGTCCAGCTTTGATATGTAATGCCTAAAGTCAAATAAACATTAGTGGGTGGTTAACATTTGTGTTTATCACACTGTGCTTGTAAACATAAACATTTCAAAACGCTTCTTGATTTCTTGAATGCTTACGTTGTGTTGTCTTCCCAGGACGACTTTTCGCCCACAAGCAAGCTCCAGCGTTTGCTGGCAGAGTCTCGGCAGATGGTTACGGACCTGGAGTTGAGTACCCTGCTCCCCATCAGCTCTGAGAGTTTCAACAGCAGTGCCAATAATGTATGTGGTTACTTTTCCTTTGACCCCCTCTGTGTATCTGAATACTCCACTGAGTACTCTCGCGCAGATGTCACTGGTCGGGCATCCCTTTCTGCTAGAAGGAAAGTTCCTGTATGTCTCTGAGACAGAGAGGTAGCACACTGGCTTCGAGGACAAGGGAAAAATCACACAAAAAAGTCACTGTGCCCCAACTTCCTCTTTCTAATTACCTGGGCGTATGAATATAAATTCTTGGGATATAAGATTACATATTTTACTATAGAAAACTTCAAATACAGAAGTAGGAAGAATATTAAAATCACAGACCTTCAACGTTCTGCCATTTTTGTTTTATCTTCCCCTATCCGTACATGTTTTCTTAGCATTTTGAAGCAAATCCTAGACATCATATCACGTCACTCATAAAAACTTCATTATGTGGGGTACCTGGGTGGCTCAGTCAGTTAAGCGTCTGACTTCGGCTCAGGTCATGATCACGGTTCATGAGTTCGAGCCCCGCATTGGGCTCTCTGCCGTCAGCGCAGAGCCTGCTTCGGATCCTTTGTCTACCTCTCTCTGCCCCTACCCCACTCGCACTCTCCCTCTATCTCAAAAGTAAATGAACATTAAAAACAACAACAACAAGAGAAAACAAACAAAAATAATAACTCAGGGACACCTGGGTGGCTCAGTAGGTTAGGCATCCAACTTCAGCTCAGGTCATGATCTCACAGTTTGTGGGTTCAAGTCCTGCATCAGGCTCTGTCCTGACAGCTCAGAGCCTGGAGCCTTCTTTGGATTCTGTGTCTCCCTCTTTCTCTGGCCCTCTCCTGCTGTATCTTTCTCTCTCTTTCAAAAATAAACATTAAAAAAATTTTTTAAAAACTTTATTATGTATCTTTCACAGATAAGCATTTAAAAAAATAGTTTTTTTTTTTAATTTTTTTTTTCAACGTTTATTTATTTTTGGGACAGAGAGAGACAGAGCATGAACGGGGGAGGGGCAAAGAGAGAGGGAGACACAGAATCGGAAACAGGCTCCAGGCTCTGAGCCATCAGCCCAGAGCCTGACGCAGGGCTCGAACTCACGGACCGCGAGATCGTGACCTGGCTGAAGTCGGACGCTTAACCGACTGCGCCACCCAGGCGCCCCTGTCCTCATTGTTATTTAACACATTCCTGTGTCCTCCATGATTCCTAAGAACTGGTATTTAGATCTAGTGACTTGGTTAGACTTGGGATCAATTTGGTGTTTTCCTTTTGGCATCACTGCCTCACTGGCGATGCTGTCTCTGCCTATCCATCACATCAGGAGGACCCGGATCTCTGGTTGTGCCACCTGTGGATGTAAAGGTTCATTGGAAGTTCAAGAGTTGGTCAGCCCGAGCTTTTTTATTTATAAAGTTCACTTAATGATTTTAGCATTCTTTGATTACTGTTACTTAGAGCTATTATTTCACTAGCAATTACAACATACTCATTCTAAATCTGTCATTCTTTTGGGGGAGTGTTTTACATGTTAATTTTAACTGCTTTTTCTGAGCCCAGTAACATTTCAGTAGCAATGATGTAAGTTGCTTTGTGGATTTTATAGCCTTAATATAAATAGTGAAAAGAGCATTGAACTTGAAATCGGGATACTGGGGTTCCAGTTTCCTAATCTCTAAAATAAGAGCTTAGAACTGAGGCTTCAAATTTAAGATTCCAGGTACATTACTTGGGTGTGCTGTGTGCATAAAGATATATGAAAGCCACAGAGTTAAACTTCTTTGTGTCCCTGACCAAAAAACTAAAATGAAAAAAGGTCTGTACGAACACTGAAATACTTCTTTTAAAATCGGCTTTGTACGAGGTAAAAGATCTATACGCTGAAAACCATAGAAAGATTATGAAAGAAACTGAAGAAGACACAAAGAAATGGAAAAACATTCCATGCTTATGGATTGGAAGAACAAAGATTGTTAAAATGTTGATACTACCCTAAGCATCTACACATCCAACGCAATCCCTATCAAAATGATACCAGCATTCTTCACAGAGTTAGAACAAACAATCCTAAAATTTGTATGGCACCACAAATGACCCTGAATAGCTAAAGTAATGTTGGAAAAGAAAACCAAAGCTGGAGGCATCACAATTCTGGACTTCAAGATATATTACAAAGCTGTACTCATCAAGACACTATGGTACTGGCACAAAAACAGACAAGTAGATCAATGGAAAAGAATAGAGAACCCAGAAATGGACCCATAAATATATGGCCAACTAGGCTTCGACAAAGCAGGAAAGAGTATCTAATGGAAGAAAGACAGTCTCTTTAGCAAATGGTGCTGGGAGAACTGGACAGCAACATGCAGAAGAATGAAACTGGCACCAAGAACCATAAAGTATCTAGGAATAAACCTAACCAAAGAGGCGAAAAATCTACACTCTGAAAACCATAGAAAGCTTATGAAAGAAATTAAAGAAGACACACAAAAAATGGAAAAATATTCCATGCTCATGGATTGGAAGAACTTATATTGTTAAAATGTCAATACTGCCCAAAGCAATCTACATATTCAACGCAATCCCTATCAAAATAACATCGGCATTCTTCACAGAGCTAGAACAAACAATCCTAAAACTTGTATGGACCCAGAAAAGACTCCGAATAACCAAAGCAATCTTGAAAAAGATAACTGAAGCTGGAGGCATCACAATCCTGGACTTCAAGCTATACTACAAAGCTGTCATCATCAAGACAGTATGGTACTGGTGCAAAAACACTCAGATCAATGGAACAGAATAGAGAACCCAGAAATGGACCTACAAATGTATGGCCAACTAATCTTTGACAAAGCAGGAAAGACTATCCAACAGAATAAAGACAGTCTCTTTAGCAAGTGGTGCTGGGAAAACTGGGCAGCGACATGCAGAAGAATGAACCAGAACCACTTTCTTACACCATACACAAAAATAAACTCAAAATGGATGAACTACTTAAATGTAGACAGGAAACCATCAAAATCTTATAGGAGAAAATAGGCAGCAACCTCTTTGATTTAGGCCACAGCAACTTCTTACTTGACATGTCTCCAGAGGCAAGAGAAATAAAAACAAAAATGGCCTCACTTCTGCACAGCAAAGGAAACCATCAACAAAACTAAAAGGCAACTGACAGAGGGGCGCCTGGGTGGCTCGGTTGGTTAAGTTTCTGACTTCCGCTCAGGTCATGATCTTGTGGTTTGTGAGTTTGACCCCTGCATCCGGCTCTTTGCTGTAAGCACAGAGCCTGCTTTGGATCCCTCCCCTGCCCTGTCCTTCTTTTCTCTTTCAAAAATAAATAAACATTTAAAAAAAAAATAGGCAACCGATGGAATGGGAGAAGATATTTGCAAATGACATAATGGATAAGGGTTAGTATCCAAAATCTCTAAAGAACCCACCAAACTCAATACCCCAAAAACAAATAATCCAGTGAAGAAATGGGCAGAAGACATGAATAGACACTTTTCCAAAGAAGACATCCGGATGGCTAACAGACACATGAAAAGATGCGCAACATCACTCATCATCATGGAAATACAAATCAAAACTACAATGACATACACCTCACACCTGTCAGAGTGGCTAAAATTAACAATTCAGGAAACAACAGATGTTGGTGAGGAACCTTTTGCACTGTTGGTGGGAATGCAAACTGGTGCAGCCACTCTGGAAAACAGTATGAAGGTTCCTCAGAAAATTAAAAATAGAACTATCATACAACTCAGCAACTGCACTACTAGGATTTTATCCAAAGTATACAAAAGTATATAAAAATGCTGATTTGAAGGGGCACATGCACCCCAATGTTTATAGCAGCGCTATCAACAATAGCCAAATTATTTATGGAAAGAGCCCAAATATCCATTGACTGATGAATGGGTAAAGAAGATGTGGTATGTATACACACACACACGTGCGCGCGCGTGTGCACAAGCGCATGATGGAACATTACTTGGCAATGAAAAAGAATGAAATCCTGCCATTTACAACAATGTGGATGGAAATGGAGGGTATTATGCCAAGTGAAATAAGTCAGAAAAAGACATATCATATGATTTTGCTCATATGTAGAATTTGAGAAACTCAACAGATGAACATAGCAGAAGGGAACATAGCAGAAGGAAAGGAAAAATAAGATAAAACAGAGAGGGAGGCAAACCATAAGAGACTCCTAAATACAGAGGACAAACTGAGGGTTGCTGGAAGTTGTGGGGGGATGGGTTAAATGGGTGAGGGGCATGAAGGAGGGCACTTTTCGGGATGAGCACTGGGTATTACATGTAAGAGATGAATCACTGGATTCTACTCCTTAGCCAACTGAGCCACCCAGGCGCCCCTCACTGGATTCTACTCCTGAAGCCAAGACTACCCTGTATGTTAACTAACTTGAATTAAAAAAATGAAATAAAATAAGATCAACTTTGTAGACTTTAATGCCTAACTAAGTACTTATTCCTTAATGAAAACCAACACAGATCGTTAGTTCAGTAAGTTTAGATAAATGTATATACACTCATTTAACCAATATCCCAGTCAAGATATAGAACATTTCCATCACCCCAGAAAGTTCCCTCATGTTCTTTGGCGTGGACTCCCCCTTTCCCCTACTCCAGGGAGCCACTGCTCTGATTTTGATCATGGAAGAATAGTTGGCCTATTCTAGAACTTCGTATAAATGCAGTCATATGATATGTACTCTTTGTCTAGCTTCTTTCAATAGAACTATTTTGAGATTTGTCCATGTTGTTGTGTATACTGGTACTTCACTCCTTTTTATTGCCGATCAGTATTCCATTGTATGACGAGACCACAGTTTGTTTATTCACCTGTTGATGGGACACGTGGGTTGTTTGCAGTTTGGGGCTATAATGAATAAAGCTGCTATGAACATTTTTTATATAAACCTTTTGTAAAATGGAAATATGTTTTTATTTCTCAAAGGAAAATACCTAGAAATAGAATCACTAGTTATAGGACAGGTGCATGCTTAA